TTGCCTGAGAGATCGAAGCAGAGAAAGAGGAGAGGAGAGCTTGATAGGTTAAAGACTGTATAATGGATATTTTGCACATCCCTTTCAAGATTTCAAGATTTTCAAAGGTTTATCATATACACAACTACGTTGAAGTTATGCAATGAATGAACAACTTGGGTCGCAGGTTCCTCAACAGTGCATTACAAGACATCTATCAATATGTGTGTATACCTCCACCATTAAACTGTCATATTCTGCACATTTCTTATATTATCTACATACATAAGAGTACAATTCATATGTATAATATCAGTTAAAATAAGTGCTTCAACATAGTTAACATTGCAGGAAAGCAATATTTTAGATGTTAAGTACTTTGTCAGGCTTAATATTTATCTGTAGATACCCCCAAAGCTTTTTTCTTATTTAAAATAAGACCTTAACCTAAAGTATTCTTTAATGTTTAAATAAAGGTTAATTTATTTTTTCTGTTTTGTACATCCTCCTATTAATATCTTTGTACATCTGGCACTAAACTGTTTTATTGTAGAGATCCCTTACAGTATCTTCTTGATTTTTTATATTCTATATTTCTATCATTGACCTTCTACTTTCCCCCTATTTTGTATGTACTCTTAATATTTTTTTCATCAAATATAACATACAAAAATAATTCAATAGCGTGCTTTAACTAGGCGGTGCACACAAGGTACACACAGCACACAATGCCATAATAACTTTTTATTATTAGTGTAGGATACTTATGTATGTATAACATCTGATGATGTGTAGTTTTATTCATGTTTTCACATAATTGTACAGGATATTGCTATATTACTTCACATGTTTTACTTCTACACATTAATATCTGATTTGTAAAACATCACAGACAGAAAGGTATATCCGTCATTTAATGGTTAGCTATTGAAATTCTGAACCCATGGTTGTGTCTCCCATCTCCCAAAACCCCTGACTATTCTTTCAACTCAGTATTTACATTCTTATATCCAAAGAAAATCAGTAATATCTTTAAAAACTACAAGTCCTTTTCTATCAGCTGTGCACCGTTATGGTGTAAATATAATCTATCTACCAATTGGATCAAATATAAAAGTCAGCCGAATTAGTGTTGATACTGCAAGGAGACGTATTGTGTTAAGAGAAATGGAAGATGTTGTTTAATTGCTGATATATTTATGATCCACGTCACGTATTCAGTTTCGGTGGCAGTTCTTCCTGTTTGTCCAGAAGTCTTCTCATCAGGGCTCTATAAATAGAGAACTACGGCAGATGTGTAATATTTAATGTAGCCAAACCGTGTATTACAATGCCGATATGTGATGACTTTCAAAGAGAAAAGCAAGTACACTCGGAATAAAGTATTATTTTCTTTAAAAAAAATTATAATTCGGATTTCATATCGCATTAACACCATATCCCAACGTGCATTGCAGCTAAACAATCCAATCACCAAGCTTAAACCATAGCTGAGGATCCTGGGTAATCAGTTCAGTGGGTGTGTATCTGTTTCCGGTTATTTTATTTTGAAATTCAGTTCCTGAAGGACGCCAACAAAAGCCAGAGATTATAGAATAAAACAAATAAATAAAAACAAGGATAATTGTGTGTTATTGTTGAGTAAATAAAAGTCTGTTATTTAGAAAAGAATAACAAATTAGAAGGAAAAAAATATTTTAAAAATACAGATTTCAGTATTCTGAGGCTCTGAGCTCTGAGCTGGAGGGATATTATGGGAGGGATATGATACATATTAACTTTCAATTTTATGCATTTCAGTTCTTCAATAACATTACTTAATTAACACTTCACTTTCCTGACACAGTTCCACTAACATACATTCACCGTCGATTGTTATTTTTTTATATTCTTTGCGGAATTTGGCCGTGTAAAATGTCCTCTTGGGTTGCCGTACAGCCAATGCGTGACGTCATTAGTAAGCGTAACGGACACCGTGCTGATCTGGTAGGCCGTGCAGATCATAGATATATATAATAATATAATAATAATAATAATAATAATAATAATAATAATAGTGATAGTAAATATAGTAAAATAATAGTAAATATAATAGTGTTTATAACAATATATCTATGGTGCAGATATGGTACCTACACAGGCAAGAAACACACTACCAATAGAAATACATTGCTTTTAAAATCGAAAAGAAGGGGGAAATCGTGTTGGTGAACACAAATCAATAGATTAAATGCCGTGAGACTGGGTTGCCCCAGCACACAGGTGTCTCTTTTATCTCCTTCCTTTCCTGTCAGAATGGACCCTTGCTAATTAGCAATGTGTTAGCCAGCTAGCATGCTAAACGAAGATGCTGCTTAACCATGATATATAAAGAAAGAGGGTGTTTCTCAATCGCGAGGATGCTGGCTTGGTAGTCGCGTACTTCCAAGTAACTTCCTTCAGAAACGAAGCAAGTATACTTCCAAGCCACGGCTTCGGAAAACGAAGAAGAATGGAACAGGCTAACAAGTGTGCCACTCTCTAACGGTTTCAACATTTAACTGTACCAAAAATAAATACCTCACGATGTCTATCTAATTATGAACTTGCTTTACTTTCACGGAACACATTTTTGGTGATAACAAACAAATGTAACAAAGTAACATATTTACCAACACATGTTCTACGCCACTACATACTTACATTTAAATGTGTGCTGCGTCGGTTTTGCAATTCTCCGCAAGGGTTTTTTTAATTGGTCCGTGCGCAAAGCATTGTGGGGATTTTAAGGACGCGAAGTCTACCCTCGAAATTTCCCCCAAACAAAGGACGCGGCCTCGGTGGAATTCCAAGTATACTGGAGATTGGAACAGTCCTTCGGCGGCACTCAATGACGTAGCATCCTTGAAATATTGGCTTGGAAGCCAGAATCCTCGAGATTGAGAAACGGCCAGAGAGTGTGCTAAACCTTATACTAAACCTACACCTTATACACACTGTTATCGTTGTCATTGTGAGCATATGTGAGCATACCCACGTTAGCATTTAGCCAAAATCATATACCCACAGTGCTGTTTACGGCTAGCTCAGAGATGTAGGCCTACTTTTGACAATTGTTAATGTGAGGGGTAGGCTACATTTAGTATGACCATTTATTCAGTTAACATACTTTACTGAAGTAGTAGCCGTTTGTTTTATATTGGAACTACTGTATGTTTTTTGCATTTTCATTCTCTCTGTTTGGCAGCAGGTCATAAAAAGTGATTTTATTGTAACGTTTTGTGAAAAGATTGGTTATGAAGGAAATTATGATTCAAAATTATGAAGCTATAAAGTACTGTGAAAAAAATGGATTTGGTGACAATTCTCTCAAGTAAAATTGGCATATCTAAAAATACTATAGGCTACCTCAACTGGCCTTGTTTAATTTGATCAGATTTGGACCAGAAGTTAATTTCTTGAATAGATAGGCTACCCCATTAAAGCTGTATAAAATCAGTTTCCATAGCAATTAAATAAATGTGTCAAATGAAAAATCTGCACAGACGAGGATAAAAAAGATGTAAATCACACAAACTGCTAAAGTTACTGTTGTGAGGGTGTTTGCCTAAGGATTGTGCCCAGACTTGACTGTCCTCTCTTGCCAAATAAGGATTTGTCACTGCTTGTTCTTTCTCACCAGACAACTACGGTAGGTGCACAAGATCCCTCCTAACACTCACCATCCTCTATTCAGTGTAAACACAACTCAGTTATTTCCATCTCAGCTCAGCAAGTTGCAATGTCAAAACAAATGTAGGTCATCAGGATATAACACAGCAATGTTGGTTAGAAAACCTCACCCCCGGGAGCCAAAGTGCAGTCCCAGCCTCATTATAGTCACAGTATTCTAATCCCAAAATATTTGCAACTTTAAACTGTCCTGACTTTATGGAAAATATACTGTTACTTAGTGTTTCCATCATGGCAGTCCATTGTGGTTTCCATAAAACAGATTTAGAACATGTATTCTGCGAATAACAGCAGATTGCATTTGACTAGAATTAATTGAAATTGCATACATTTTCTAACATAATAAGAATACAATTATTTATAACAAGAATAATAAATAATTGCAGTTAAAATATACTTAACTGATGCTGTAGTTGTTGAGGTTTGCAGGCCATATAATGAGAACAGTTTATTTGATTAGGTTATTCAGCTCGAAGTATAGTTTACCCTGAAGTGGATCTGGTTTGTTTAATATGAGTCGATGAGCATCTAATGACCACTGTTGCTTTGTTTTGCTATTCTCACTACCACTGCTGCTTACAGGATATTGTCTAATAAAGCAGAAATGACTCTCTTAAAGCCAGCTGAGTTTCATTTACTTATCCGTCTTGCTTCTGGCTGTTTGTCTATTATTGGCTTGTCAGTATTTTAGCAATGGATGGAGCTTTATACAACATGACCTGTTAAGTCACTGTGTGGAAACACAACAGCGCCATATGCTGGACACTGAGGTGAATCATGACTGACTGTGTCTGAAAAACAAGTTTGGAGTTATTGTATTCAGTGTGAACACTCAACAAGTATTATAATTGATGGTGACTCGAGAGCGGAAAAGGGGGGAGGAAAGTGTGTTTCTATGTTTCCATCTACATGCACTAACTCAAAAACACCGTATTTCCTGTGCATGAGTACTGGCATGATTAATGTCCCTGGATATTGACATGCATGTTTATATTTTGTGCTTATTTATGTATGTTTCTCAGGCACTGTGCCAGTTCCCCTTTTGTTAGCCAAGACATTGCTAAATAAGGAAGACAACCTCTCATACTGCCGCTCCCTACTGTATTTTCTCAGTTTTTATCTCCCCTAAACACACTACAACCTCTTTAACCTACGTAGAGGACCGGGACACATGAGAAAATCTGGGCTTCATATACATTTAGATTTACTTACTGCCCTGACAGACTATTTGACATTTCTTTGAAGAGCTGCAGTCCTATTACATGGGTTGAATGTATTTAGGTCACAAACACAAACAACACAGAGCCAAATATCCATACAATATGTTTATCACAATTTCAGTTTGATTAGAAATATAAACCATCTTATCACAAGTCTTGATATGTATTATAAAGCTAAAAGCATTCCACTGGGAACTACAGGCACATTTTTTTTCATTTTTTACAACATTATAACTGTATTCAAACAGCACAGCAGGGAGAAGTTTGACAGTTGTACACAGGCCAGGAACGGAGGATTTCACACCTGAGAAGGAGTGGAAAAATGTAAGTCTTGTGGAAGAAAGGTGAGCCTACTTAGCATGTCTGATAGACTGTATAATATCGTGATGAGCGTATTCATCCAGGATATTACCATTCATGACTAAACACAGGTTTTCATGCTCAGACTTCTTACAGTGAGAAACATAGATCCATGTGGTTTCATTTGACATACAATTGAACAGAGATAAATCCTGCTTTGGTACAGCACTAAAATAAAAATGAATAATGTATAACAGAATCTAAATTCCATAATGCTAACATTGTGTTAGTTATCAACAAACAGCAACTGGAATTTGGATGGCTACACTGATACAGAAAATGTACTTATATTAGTTTCAAGTCAGCCTCTTACAGTATGTGTAAATGCCGACAAATTCCAGTTGGTCATTTTTACGACCACATAAATAATCAACCTGAACTTAAATGCTTGGAAAAAGTTACTATCCATTTTGTTCTCATCAAGACTGCTGCTTTTATATAGCCGTCTAAATGTAGACCAAGCAATATAAGTGCCATCAAGAAATCTAATAAAACTTCCCAAATACGTTGGTCCTCGCCTACACTGTGCCTCATACTGACCATAAATTACATAAAGAGTTGAATTTCTTAGTACAATCTTTCGGTTTTTCATCCATGACATTTCATTTATGGCAAAACTCAACAGTTGGTGTGAATTTTCCAAAAGTTAAACAAAACACAGCAATGCAAAACAAAAAGCACAAATCATCTGAGGAGAGATTCATTTCAAACCTTTTTACATTCATTTTTTACCTGGACATACAAGGCTTTTTGTTTATGTCCCTTTTCAGTCTGTTTCACAAAAGACATTATGGCTGTTATTAGGTTTAAATGCCTTTCAGAAACTCATTGTAGTGGGTGGCCCTTAATGGGGAATATAAGTTGGTGCTCGATGACCAGTTAATGGCAGGAAACATGGCCTCCGCTCTGCAGTTGTGCGTCTTAACACCACAACCTCACCTTCGACTCCTTGGCCCCGGGATCCATCACATCACCTCACACTTGTGTTTGGTTTAGCGAGCAGGGGGTGTGCGGCCTTCCCAGTACTTTGCATACGTATTTTGGAACATGTCCTTACAGTTCAGTTTGGCGTTCAGCCGTGCGCAGATGAGGAAGGAGCCGCCCATCTTGCGGTGCAGGGAGTACGTCTCCTCTGGAGGAGGGGTGAGCCGGTGTTTGAGCATCACAGGGATCAGGTTGTGGATTCTCTCCGTGGTGGACTGGGCGCCAAATTCAAACGTGTCTGTGGAGTTAAAGGCCTCGCCGAGGATCATCACCGCATCCACATGGGCGTTTATCATCGCCTGGATACAAGGGGAGAAAAAATTAGTTAAAAACCTATTCATTTAGATGACTTTAATTAATGTCATTCTATATACGTTACAAATGTTACATTTATTTCTCGCTTTTTTATTTTCACTTTCAACTTTTTCTAAAGCATCTATTTTATGAAAAATGCTCTATAAATAAAAGATTTTTCTTTATAGTATTATTCTTAACTGATGAGAATAAATTGTCAGTTTTTGCAAAAGGAATTTTGCTGAAGAAACAAAAACATATTTGGGTTATTTTTTACCTGTGTCGTGAAACCAACCCGTTAAGCATATTTACCTTGGATTCATACCCGGTCAGGAATTTCATTTCAATAGATTTCTTCGCTACTCCTTCTCTGTCGCCCTCGGCAGCTGAACGGATTACCTATGATAACAAACAGGGAATGACTGTTACCAATATCACTTTAATGTCTTTGTCTATGTTCAGACTGCAGTGTGACGTCTGTGTTATTGTTCTTTTGTGCATGCCGGTCACTTCATAAAAGTGATCACTACATACTTGCAGCGTACGAATAGCCTTTGTCTTCTCTATAAATCCAATGGAAGTAAGACTTCAAAAACTTTTAGGACTCACTGCAAGTTAAATCACAATTATGGGTTTTTACAAAAACAGTTTTGGTGGTATACAGTAACTTTGTGTTGATGAAGAACATGACTTTGTCTATGAATAGTTAGAAATAAAAATTAAAACTGCGGTCGTACATGTGCGCGCAGTGATGAGCGGGCCCTCGCTTCCGTGCGCCTGTCATGGAGGGCAGCCGGTCGTCCCGGCGTCAACCAGACACTTGTGAGTCCTGGGAAATGAGCCGTTTCTCATTTCTATAATTTTCGCGTCCCAGACTCCCAGGTCCTCCGGCAGCAACCCGGAAACGGATGTCGGCGGGCCGTCTCGAAGGAAAACAAATTTCTCTAAAGGGTCGTCGAGGATCGATTATCAAGGAGGCTGTCTGGAGGAGCCGTAACCGAGGATGCACTGATTTAGAGGAGAGAGGAGTCTCTCTGGAGGAGCTATAACCGAGGGTACACTGATATATTCTCCGGAGTCGATTTCAGCCAACAGTGTTGTTTCCGTTGTGATTATAAGTTATTTATGATGATCAAATGTGCATCAGACTTTCTGCCCTTTAATAATAATAATAATAATAGATTTAATTTGTTAGCGCTTTTACAGGTGCTCAAATACGCTTTACAGATATAGTGAAGATAAAATAAAATAAAGGAACAACAAATAAATATATAGTTAAAGTTAAAGTCAAATAATACAAAAACAATCACACATTAAAAGCCAGATTGAAGAGGTGAGTTTTTGTAAGTTTTTTGAAGGTGGTGAGGTCAGTGCAGTCTCTGATGGGTTGTAAGAGTGAGTTCCAGAGGGAGGGGGCAGCGACAGAGAAGGCTCTGTCCCCCCAGGTCCGATGATTGATGCGGGTGGGGATGGATAGGAGGTTGGCTTCTGATGAGCGGAGGCAGCGGGAAGGAGTGTGGTGGTGCAGCAGGTCTGTGAGGTAGGGGGGGCCGGATTGTTGAGGGCTTTGTGAGTAATCAGGAGGACTTTGAAGTTGATTCTTTGACGGACGGGGAGCCAGTGGAGGTTCTGGAGGACGGGAGTGCCGTTTACGGGAGTACCGTTTGTTTACTCACTAATCACATCCCCTCTGGATGTTAGGCTATCTATCATACAACTGCTTTCATTGTGAGGCGATGTTTACAGTGAGAACAGCTGCTGAGGTCAGTGCAGAAAGCAGAACAGTGTGTATAATATATATCGCTCAATAATATATGTACCAGGCCTACATTTCACACTTTATTTGTAGGCTTTAAGAGATATCTATAAATAGACAATAGGCTTAGGGAGTGTATAGGTGTCTGTTGTAATGAATATGCCGCCAGCAAAGGGCGTTGTTGGACTAACAGTATAGGTGTGTGTGTGTGTGTGTGTGTGTGTGTGTGTGTGTGTGTGTGTGTGTGTGTGTGTGTGTGTGTGTGTGCGTGTGTGTGTGTGTGTGTGTGTGAGAGAGAGAGTTGATGTGCCAGGCAGACAGGCAGGTCTCAGTAGCTTATCTGACATATAATTGGTCAAAAATGGTACATTCTCCGTTAGCCTACGAGCTCCCCGTTTGAGTGAAGGACTATTCCTTCTCAATGTAGCATGACATTGGATATGTGCTGAAGTTGTCCTGGATTGGAATTTTTCCGATCATTCCCCTATGAGGAGTTTGCAGAAATGTCCTTAAAATGCATGAGAAACGCACATTTTGTAAAATGGCCCACTTTCTGGTGGACGGGGCTAATAAAAGCAAATTTGAAATATGTCCGCAATCATAATAGCAATGTGCATACAGCGTTTCGTGAATATCGGAAAAACTATATGCAAGTAGTTTGGAGTAATTTGCAACATGTAAATCGTCAAATTGTGTATTCGCTGTTAGCTTGCGACCTCCACGATTGAGCCCTCAAAAAATTTCTTCGCAATTTAGCATCATATTGGATAGGGGCTGAACTTGTCCTGGATTGGAATTTTTCCGATCATTTCCCCAGGAGGAGTTAGCAAACATGTGCTTAAAATGCATTAAAAACGCAAATCTTTCAAAATGGCCAACTTTCTGGGGGGGGGGGGGCTAATGAAAAGCAATTTGAAATATGTGTGCAATCATAATAGCAATGTGTATACAGCGTTTCGTGAATATCGGAAAAACTATATGGGAGTAATTTGGAGTAGTTTGGAGTCATTTGCGACATGTAAATGGTCAAAACTGGTGTATTCGCTGTTAGCTTACGACCTCCACGATTGAGCGATCAAAATATTTCTTCTCAATTTAGCATCATATTGGATAGGGGCTGAACGTGTCCTGGATTGGAATTTTTACGATCATTCCCCTAGGAGGAGTTCGCAAGAATGTGCTTAAAATACATGAAAAACGCAAATTTTTCAAAATGGCCGACTTCCTGGGGGGCGGGGCTAATGGAATCTATTTACAAATATGTCCGCAATTCCATGAGGAATGTCTGTGCCAAAATTCGTGAAGTTCTGAGAAACTATATGTGACTACCACACAATAGGGGGCGCTAGTGAGCAGTTTTTTTGAAAAATTACGGGGGTTTTTTGCATTCTCGAAAAGGTCGTGGGCTCTGACGTGTGTCCCAAGTTTTGCGTCCGAAGCTCATTTTATGCTATCGCAATTTAAAAAAAATGTATAGGCCATGCCCACATTCTGAAAAAATGTGTAAAAAAAAAAAAAAGTTGATTAAATTGATGGTGTTTTTGGCGCCCCCTATAGTCCAAAATGAAAATGCTTTGGTGTGCCTATTCCCCAAGACAGACTGAACCTATTTACCAAAATCTGTGATGTTTGGATACATTGTTGATGAGTTATGAGCATTTCTTTCTAAGCCCCGCCTTTTTGCGAGTACGTTTTGATTGACGGCGGCAATATTTATCGTCCTAACATGCTCATTTTCTACGGTAATGTGTCTGACCCTCCACCGATGCTGTATACGAAGTTTGGTGTTGAAAAACTGAAAATTGAAATTTAAGTGAATATTTAACTGTTTTGAACATTATGCTAATTTAAATTTAAGAGCAGGTCCACCCGGATATGTGTGCAACATTTCAGGTCATTCGGAGTTACAGTGCGACTTTGTACATTTATTCCGAAATGGGATTTTGATAGGTGGCGCTAGTGAGCAGGTTGGAATATTTAACCCATTGACTCCAGAATATTGAATTTTTCACCGGTCCTGGCGTCCGTGCAAAATTATACAACTTTTGAAGCATCCTAAAGACCTCAAAAAGAGGAAACGCCAGCACTATAATAATAATACCACCAATAACAATAGGTTCCTCGCACTTCGAGCTAGGACGCCGTCGGGTCCTAGTGCTCCGTGCTCGGGCCCTAATAAAGAAAAGTAAAAAGTATGTCGGCTGGTCTTACCTCTATGTAGGGGTCTGTGAAACTCTTGTCAAATCCTCTTGTGGCTCCAAAGTCCAACAGTGCCACCTAGAGGGAAATAATCCCATGATAACATTTAGGCTTAGTCTCAATACCATATTATCACTATTCCACATTGTAGTAGAAGTATTCCTAGTGAGAGTAGTATTGAGTTGGCAGACTCACCCTGTGTGTCTGCGGATCATAGAAGAAGTTGGACCAGTTGGGGTCCGTCTGCATGTACCTGAACTCAAACAGCTCTCTAAGGCACAACTTCAAGATGTTCTCACAGATCTAATGCACAAACAAAAGTGAGGAGGTGAGGAGAGCAGGGACTTGTGGGAGGAAAATGAAAGGACAGAGGGGAAACAGGTTGTTCCCTTTCCTGCCACTGGAGACGCATCCATCGATGTGTTTATTGATCAGGAAGAAACTAATTTGGTCCCCCACTAACATTAAACAAACCCGCTCTGAGCACATTCACTAATGCGTTTCTCGCCAGATAAATAGACACATTAGCCAGCTAGACATCCATCGATCTGTCTGGTTTTGGCAGCTGTGTACCTCGTTCTTCAGGTCCTGTGTGAGGCCGTCAGCCTGGTCCAGGGGGAACCCGGGGACCAGCTCTGTGGTCAGGACGTGGGCGCTGCTCAGCTCATCTATCACCTCTGGTACATAGAAGAACGGTTGGTCCTTTAGAAACTCTCTAGATCAGAACAGGATGAATATACAAATAAATAAATCAAGGTGAAAAAGGCTGGCAATATACTGTATGATGTGAATTACAATAAAAACACATGTGACTCACCTGAATTTCTTTGCACACTGGGCTTCTCTTATATAATCGCACTCTAATGCTAGCTCTCTTCTCATCACGTCTATCAGGTGCTCTGGAAACAGACCTAAAGAGACACACAGGGAAGTTGAGTGCAGTTGTGCATGTGTTTGTCTTTTGCGTATGACTTAGCAGGTTAGCTAGTGGTGTCTGCATGCATGAAAATGAGCTCACCTTCAGGCAGGGCATTGCTAATATTCAGCACCGTCATCAGGTTGTTGACGTCACTGTTGATACTCTGAGCCACACCGGGGTACTGGGGATAAACAAACAGAGAATGTGTTACCTCAACTTGATCATAAAATTCACTCTGGGTTTCAATATTATCAATAGAATCCATCAAGAGAATGCATTGTTTGTGAAAAAGCATTCTTGGTTTGTTTGTCTTGGACAATTTATAATACAATGTCATAGAATGAAGCAGACATCTTTGATGTCATTTTATTTATGTTTACAGAATACCTTAATAACTTATTTTACAGGCATTGCAATTATCATTTGTATTAAGATTATAACAATGCCATTAGTTTGAATTTATTGGCAAATCCTCCATAAGTTCCGAAAACATTTTAAACGATTAAGACGGCTTGTAAATACTGTGAAGGCACAAAATAAGAAGCTAAACACTTTTACACTTTTCTTCTCTGACCTACATCCGAACAAAGTCTGTAAACAGACCACAGAGATCGGTGTGAGAAACACTCTCCAGTTTCAGTGTTTATCTCAACAACATGAGAATGTTCTGGGTACACACACACACATGTGCACAGCCTACCTGTATTTTCATGGCCACCTCCCTGCCGTCCTTCATCCGGGCCAGGTGAACTTGTCCGATCGACGCCGCAGCGAACGGACGCTCCTCAAACGATTCCAGCTTGTCTCGCCAGTTAGGACCAAGGTCGCCGTTTAGTGCTTTCTACAGAAAGACACAAATCGCAAGGAGTTGTTGTTATATTTCCATATGTTTTAAAAGCATTTGGCGTTTTCACCAGTAGATTTACACGAGGCTTGAGAAAAAACCATTAATATTAAAAATAGGTATAACCAATATTGTAACACTTATTTTATTTCTCATGTAAAAATCAGCTTCAGCTATTATCCCATTATCCCGTTATAAATGCCAGTTAAAATAAAGAAACACTCTTACTGTCATTTGCTTGATTGGCATGAAGTCAGCGCTCTGCCTGACACGGTCAAAGATCTTGGCGAGTTGGGGGTTGATGAATGCATCATCTGAAATACAGAAACATACATAGGTTGGTCTCAATAGGACAGACATGCAGGTCAGTAGGCAAGTCTAGAATATTTTACAATAATTCTGAATTAGGCACATTTCGAAGTGCCATAAAATACAGCTGTGAAAGCAAATGGCTTTAATTTTACTCCAGGTGTGTTTGCAGACTTAAATGGCGAGCTCAACCCAAAATCTAAAATACTTGTTCAACATTGTTCTGGTGTGAGTCGTAGAGATGTTTGCCTTGTGGTGCTCAAAGCGCAGGAAAATACATATGAAAAAAAATTCATCAGTATTGATTCTTCCCACAAATCATGACAAGGTTACTGTACTTGTGACATTTCACATGGAGATTCGTAAATGTATTTTTTTTTAAAGGCATCTCTGAAGGTGATATCTCCACCTATCAGCAAATCACTGCACAACAATCAAGAAAACATGTGCTACAGGAAAAAGGAAACATATGTATTTATGTTTTGAGGCTGGGCTGTCCCTTTAAATATGGGTGTATAAATGTACTAAAAGGAATACAGTTACAATACTGACTGTCTATGCATTTGACCACCAAAAACGTCATTATTCAACCTATGGCCACAGGTTTTAGTGGTCTCAATTGAATGCAATTCTATTAAATGTTATAAGAAAAGTATCCCTATGTCTTATTTTATGTAGTAGGAGCAGTTCGATTTCTGTGTGTGCTGAGCTACGGAAGACTACTGTGACCTTTAAGTCCATTTTAGATTTAAGAATACACTTGTCACCACTGTAGAGTCAGAGTAAAGCAATGCCAGTTCTCTAAATAACAACACACATGAACACAACAAGGTCAATCCACTTTGTTTAAACCTGCTTAGCAAACAACGCAAATGTCCTTTTCTAAGCTACTACTATTTTGGTGGCTGATTTCATTTACTACAGTGTTATGTCTAGGTTTACACAAACATATTCTGAAAAGTAAAAGCCAATGGTCATAAGCCAAGGTCAGGCAGCAGCAACAACAGTGACAAACTAAATTGATGATCTGTTTACTGCTGTAACCTAATCTGTGCCAAGATATGTACTGCCTCTGGTGGTATGCTCTTGAACTTTGCCTGGCTAGTGTGTGCAAAACACATACGCATCTAATGACACAATAACTTATTCTCAGCTGCTGCTACCTGTGTGTTTGAGTGCAGCAACAGGCGAACGTTACAACTGTGGAACGGCACGTGGAAAACCATCAACAGCTCAACAAATGTCCACTACATCTTTATCGAGTCAAACTACCTGTAATGGAAAACATGGCACACCTTGAATACTGAGCATCTGTCCCACTTTCAACGCAGCTCCTCTGACTTTACACAGGGTTCTGACGATGCGCTCAGCGTTGGCCTCTGACAGGAAGGGGCTGGAGTCCAGGACACGTTTCTTATCACCTGAAGAAACACAAAAAAAGAGAGCATGCTGTAACATACACAACCATTTTATTTCATGTCATTGGGATGAATCAACATCATTAGTTAAAGGGGCACTATTAGGCTTATGTACGGGTTTCATTATAATCAGTAATTATTTGTATTTTGTGCCTCTACTGTGACATGTTTACAGGCTTAAATGTTCATAAGTGCTTGTTTTTCCTCATACTTCCTGTCCTCTTTTCACCCTCTGTCTGAAATCAGAACCCAGTCTGCTCTGATTGGTTAGCCGGCCGGCTCTGTTGTGATTGGTCAACCGCTTAGAGATGTCCCGTCCCTTAGCATTCAATGTGTTGGAGCGCTAGCCAACAGAAGTGCGAGTTTTTTACGTAATGATTTCACCATCTTCCAGAGGTAAACAAAGGAGTCCAATGGAGGTGTTTCAGGCAGGGGGGGGGGGTGAATATCTAATTTTTAGATATTCACCTTTGCAGATCATTTACACGCCCAAAACCTATATACACACACACTACAGGAAAGACTACATAATACCGTTTTAATGTACTTAACAGCAATTCATTCAAACGTTCAAAACGAACAACAAACATCTGTGTTTATTGTGTGTCTGTGAGGATATGTGTTAGACGGTTGCAATTTAGTGCGCTTGAGTCTGTCCAAAGATAAATACACACATATAAACAGCCACACACAGACGCACAAATGCCACAGATTTCCGCGGTATGCTGTTTCAGATTAGCAGGGAATGGGTGTCTTGATGGCAGGTTGGTACGGGAGGTGGTGTAATTATGCTCTGTTGACATACAAAATGTGTTGCGTGTATGAACATGCATCAGGGAGGGGTACTGAAAAAAGAGGATAGCTTTTCAACTAGTGCTGTTCAGGAACTCAGTTGCAAAATCTCATAATAAACAACCAGAAATACCTGTCCTTACAGGCACAACTCAACTCTCAAATGTTGCAAATTATTACTTTGTCAAAGTATTTCTTCTACACAAATCTGTAGTACAATGCATTCAGGAAGAAGTAGCATAACAGTGTAACTGGCATTGTGCATGATTCAATATCCTAGACAGGAATGGCTTATAAGCCTCGAACATTTAAGAATTCAGACACAAACTGTCTGTCTTACCTTCGGTATTTTGTCTCATGCCCTTCTTGGCAACTTCTGCAAGTGCTCCAATCCCCAGACCTACAGCTAGGCCTGGAGGAAACACACAGACATTAGAAAAACACAATAAAAATGGAATATACAAACAAAATACAAGTGTTTCCATCATAAGGACACACTATCACAACACAACACAGAGATATAAAAGCACCAGTCATTCCTGTTATGTTATGTCTCAGTGTCTATAAATACATGACTTTAATACATGATGACAGCTGTTGCCTTGAAACGATGCTATTCTCATCAAGAGAACAGAATGGAACAAAACAATATGGTCAGATAAGCACTTGATTAACTTGGCAGTGTGCAAAGAGAGAACAGTAACAGCTGCACCGCTAACATAACAAAGCACTTGTAAATCATCCCTCATCTAGTAATATTCACAATTAAGCTCTCAAAATACTTAATCCTCAGAGGGTAATCTTAGCAGATGATAATATCACTTTGTAAGTCAGAAATTTGTATTACATTACATCAGCTCCGTTTGCAACAACACAGACCAAAAGCCTTCAAAATATCTGATCCAGGATTAACCTTTTTATTTATTTTTGGGAGTGACTGGTGCACAAAATAGTGCATAAATCAAATAGTTTATTTGGTAAACACTACATTTTATGCGGGGAAAACACTTGTATCATATAGTATTATGATTCTGTAGAACAATCATAATCACAGGAGGAAAAGAGAAATATGTCTAATCATAAATAAAGTGAAAAAGGAAGCGAGTCATGTACTGTTAGTGAGCGAGTTCCTCCCTGCCTTGTCTCTGCCTTACATAACTCAGCGTTACATAATCCGTTAGTCAGCGGTCCTATGAAGCGATGAATCTGAGATCCAACACTCAAAGGACATATCAGGACACAACCTGCTTCAGTGTCTTAGCTGAGCGTCTCTTAATCGGTGAAAGACGTGCCGACACCTTCATTTTCGGAGACAGGTTTGACAAGAGGGATTCACATTTTCCAGGAAATGTGTGGAGCTTTCTGTGTCACCTCGTGTAACCTGTTACAGCATCATCGTACTCTGCTGCACACTTCTTACAAGCTTTAAAAGATTATTTATGTTCCTTTAATTTGATGATAAAAAGATACAAAACTTTTCAAAGTAGTTGATAACATTGATGACCTTTTCAAGCAATGTAGCTATAAACGCTGATGACATGAAACACAGCAACATTATGATTCTTTAAATGAGTTTGCTGCACATGAAGTGTGCATTTATTTTCTCACAACGTACCTGATAATGAAACACAACCAGTTGAAAAACGTCGTCAACAAGTTACAGGAGAGTGAAGGGCAGAGAGAGGACACTTCCCTCCCCCCCTTACTTTCTCCGACACCTTCTAAATGTTACCACTGTCAACATGCTAAATCAACACGGCTATGGACAAATTGCGTTATTGTAGCCTACAGTATGTAAGGTCTGTCAGGGAATCATTTCCATAGATGTTTACCTTTTGCCCTCTGACGCAGATGACCAACCTTGGCATCTGTTATCTCCCTTAAGGAGGGGGCTTCTTAAGCCATTTGTTGTTGTTGTCCGTTTATGACCGGGCAACTTTCGGTCAAAGATAGTTTATTGTTATGAGGACATATGGAACAACTCTGGGCTTGATGAACCCAAGGTGTGAAATCTTTGAGGCCATAAGCGCCAGCGTCTAGTGAAGAATGTTGATTACTCTCAAGCAATTCTTCAGAATTGATTGTGGCATCTCATCTGTGTGGTCAGACCACGGCATGACATGACATGCCCTATGACATGTCTTGTGAATTCTCCGGCCGAAACTTCAAATAAACCGTCAGTGTTTGCCATCAAAGCTCCAGCTCTCCTTGTGTCTCTTTGAGTCCTGACTCTCCATTGCTTCAGAAGTTTCCCACATAAGGTCCATATGTTTGGTATGAGCTGTGGCTAAATTCTGCTACCTGTCATTTCTGTTGGCAGTCCTGTCCATGCGAGAATCTGTTCTGTGTTCACAAGTTTATCCTGTGCTTTAGCTTCTTTGACCAACTTTATGCCCCCTGTAAAAGTCTGAAATGAAGCAATAATCTTCTGATTTACAAGCACTGATGCCTTTAAATAAGCTTATCGCTGAAATAACATCCTGTCTAGATATGACATTAGGATACCATTAACTCTGTACCTGCCTTAATGTGGCCACATGTCATTATCACAACCAACATCTTTCAATCGTGGGTGACATATATAGAACCAAAAATAACTGGTAGTAGCAACTGTTATATTTTTATATTTCCATTTGGTACCATATGTTGTAAAACATCTAAATCTTTTATCATTTGTATACTTTCATTTGGACTTGGCAGTCATTTATTGTGTCTGAATATGTCACAGCTAAAGGATTAGAGAACAGGCAACGTGGTCAAACAGAAGATTAACTTGAAATCTGCAGCGCTCACAGACTCAGATTTGAGTAACTGCTGCTGTCCTCTGTCTTAGTTTGTAGCTGATTGTCAAGGAGAGTTTTAACTCAATGTGCCATTTGTAAAGGCTAGATAGACTTGACCTAATTTAAGTTTTTGTTTAAGAGCGCGTCCAGGCTCTGAATCTCGATAAATACTCATGTTAGTTACATTCCTGTTTGTTACGTTTTTGTGTTTGTTGGTATTTAAATATGTGCCTACATTATGTATGTACACAGAGAGGTGTTGTTTTGACAATTGACTTTGCGGAGGACATGTGCTGACACAACAACACGACCGCCCTGAACCCAGTGACACCGGCATATCGAGAGAGCAGTAGGTTTCAGTGAGACTAGATGACAAGGTGATGTTTCCAATACTTTCAAACTATATTATATCACGCTACTAGCACAAACAAAAAATAGGCTTTTTCTCAAACTGGATGACATATTGCAGATAACTAACCAGAGGGAGTGTGACTTCATTTCACAGATATTAATTAAGGGTGGGTAACATGAATTATCTTCAGTTCTTAAAGGTCACCTATTATGCAAAATCCACTTTTTCATGTCTGTTATACATCAACATGTGTCCCCTCTGTGTAAAGAGATTCTGAAAGTTTCGGGAAAAAAGATTCTCTCTCTTTTTGTCCTGATCCATTTATATAAAAACCTGTCTGAAAATGAGCTGATCAGATGTTGGCCACTTTATAATGTCATAACGATTTTTTGGCTTGTGTAACCATTAGCCAATCACCCCCCCAAGCCCCCCCCCCCCCACCATATCACCTGAATCCCCTCCTAGAGTACCATTGTGTTCTTTTTAACCAAATATCTCTCAGAGGGGCGTGGCTCCTTATTTTCATCTAAAGTAACAGACAGATCAGCACTTTTGAAACAGGGCTGAAACAGGGCTGAAACAGAGGGGATTATGGGATGCTGCAACGATCTGTTTGGTGTTTGGAGCCAAACACTTCAGATACATGTTTTGTATATATCTGAGACCTATAATATATTGATGAAAAACAGTATAATAGGGGACCTTTAAAACTAGAATCATTATTTTACTGACTTGCTGAGTGGAGTTATTTAAATGTAGGAGAAAAGACAGGAAGTTGTACTTGCTGACTTGCATTCAGACACAGTTAGACAAACAAAGAGTTGTTGTGGTTGTTTTACTGTACCTCCAAAGTTGGCCAGTCTGCTGAGCCGAGACACTGGCACTTTCCTCTCTCTGGCTCTCTCACTCAACTAAGGAAGACAAACCGGTAAATATTTGATTAAAATGTGATTGGAAAGGTACATTTTAACGTTAATTAATATCTATGTGTGTTTAAGATTAGGAACGGAGGAACAATAATTACCATTTGTTTGTGTGATTTGATCTCCACCTTCTTGCCCTGTCTTGCTTTCTCGATGTCTTCGGCCGTCAGCCCTCCAACTGTGGACGGGTCCTGATGGTAGCTCCTGAGCTGATGCTGGCGGTATAGCTGTCCCCACACATGTCTATTTAGACCGTGGCTGTAGAAATGTCTGACACACCCAAAGCAGAAATCATTACCTTTATCCTCCAAAAACATGTTTACTGTAGATTGTAATTGAGAAAGAGAATATTTGTACCTGATGTCTTGGTGGTAAGATCTGGTGTGTCCGCTAAACTGTTTGCTGGGATCTTTGTATCCATCGAACAACGACTGTTTGCCCCTGACATGGCTCTCTCCTGCTGCTGCGATGTCTTCACTCATTCCTTGGTGAGCCACTGTAAAGTCCACACCTTCGTCCTTGAACTCTGCGAATGCACTGTCATCCTGAGGAAAGTCAAATTCTGACTCCGTTGAAGAGGTCTGCTGTTGGCCAGTCATCTCCTAGACAGAAACACAAAGGCATAACATGAAAACACATTTCATAGTATTCTTTTCTTTTGAAATACAGCAGCTTATTTACTGTAAAAAGTAGTATTTACACATACATCTACACACACCTGCATTTTCATCATAGCAGCTGAGAGGCTCTGCTCAGCAGCTGATTGGACACTCTGGACAGCAGCAGCAACACCTGGGGCACAATTATCAAAAATACTGTTATTAGATTAAAGAGTTTACCATTAAACTACATATTAATTGTTAAGAAAAAATTCAATTTGACTTTAAATGGTATAGTCTTTCATTCATATGGAACAGTATAATGCACAATAGAACATTATTCCTAAACAGTGTTGGGAGTAACGCGTTACAAAGTAACGCCGTTATTGTTGGCAGTAACTAGTACTCTAACGCATTACTTTTTAAATTCAGTAACGCAGTTACCGTTACTACATGGTGCGTTACTCCGTTAGTTTTTTTATATAGTCAACAGCCAGGCGAACAGAGATGAGAACTGTACTTAAGTACAGTACTTGAGTAAATGTACTTAGATACTTCCTGTGTCACATGCGGAGACGCGCTGTGGGCGTGTTTGTGTTGTTTACTAACAAGACTATCATGGCGGCGGCGGAGCTCAAGTCTAGTTTCTCCACCTGGAGATATTCTCACTATTTCACTTTTGTCGAGCACAAAGAAAATAACGTTTTAGTTAAATGTAAGTTGTGTCCTAGCGGGTCAAAGATCCTATCTACTGCCCAAACCGGGTCATTCAAATCTCTTAAAACATCTGCAAAAACAACATGCTGGGACGAAGCTAGTAGCTAAGACCACAGAGACTCAGCCGACGCCACTCCACCTCCACCTAAGCAACAGCGGCTGGATTTTAACCAAGGGACTGCTGGCCAGGGAAAAGTCGATAAAGCCATTGCACGGTATGTTGTAGAACACATGCAGGCTATTGCTACAGTGGAGTCACCCGCTTTCAGAGAGCTAGTTAGCATGATACCATGTCCGGGCGGCACACGGCATATGGGACGGAAAACTTTTTCCAACTACCTGGAGAAAGAATATACAAAAATGGAAAGCCAGCTAATATCGATGCAATCCAGATTGCATATAATGCATGTCAAGTTGATCAACAGATTGTATTATTCTCCAATGCAATAACAGTACTGAAATGAAGGCTATAAGGGCATTAATGGGAGCCCTTTTTTAAGTAACTAAAACGTTACTTTTCACAGTAACGCATTACTTTTGGGTGTAAGTAACTAGTAAAGTAACTGAGTTACTTTTGAAATGAAGTAACTAGTCATGGTAACTAGTTACTGGTTTTCAGTAACTAGCACAACACTGTTCCTAAATGATTTAGTCTTTAAGCTGAAAAATAGAATGGTAGCATTTTGCTTACATTAACTTTCAACCAATGCTAGCCACAATCTAGTGTGTTGTAATGGAATTAGCTTTTCAAAAACTAATTTAATGTAATACTAATGTTTTTTTAAATAAAAGGGCATTTATTTGTATAAACAGGCTACAATGTAGAAAATAGTGTTTTATCAGTTCTTTACGCTTCTTAGTCTTTTTGTTTACATTACTGTAGGAGCCATTTCCTTAGATTATATTAGCTTATCTATTTTGAGTACATATCCTGAAATTCTGTGGTGTATATTATTTGTAAATTATATAATTTGAGTGCGTTACTCTGCAGGTCGAGATGCTGCAGCATAAAACGAGAGGTGCTGCAGCATACTGGTGCGGCTGACTGAAGCAAACAGTTTTTAGACCTTGCTGGTTGGGAGCGTCACAGCTTGGTTCTTTATTGTGCCTTTAACATTAAAATATCAGTTTATATGACAAATAGTTTGTTTAAAAACGTTTATTTATTTTTGCCTTCTTTGGAATAAACTATCTTACTTTTCAATCTGGACATTTCTATATTTTTTCTCTCAAACTACAAGCGTCTATTCCTCGGTCAGCCCCACGAGTGAATCACTAACAAAGGACAAAAAACAAATGGATATCGTGGTCACTACAATTACTTTTCAACCAATGTGAAACACTAGCCACAAGTTAACAGTCTACTGTTTGTATAGGAGTTAGCAGGTCAGACAACCTGATGGATTCAGACCACTCTTTATCGAAAACTGAATACGTAACATTTTATTTTACAGTCTTTTATAAGTATACACATGTAGGCATATTAGTATATTTGCTAACATTACTTTTCAACCAATGTGTACATCTTATCACAAGCTAGCTTGTCATAATGTGAGCTAACAAGTATGTTATTTAGGGGTTTTAATGCAGAACACTATGGCTGCTAACAAGACAGTTAAATGACAGACCTTTTATTTTCTTGACAAAGTTCAATTTAGAAAATAAGCAGGTGTGTTGAACTTACCTGCTCCACTGCGCAGGGTGCTGCTCTGAGTCTCTACAACAGCCTGGCTCAATTTAGCCAAGCCGCGCATCACTAATATCATATCGCCCGCCATGATGGACTACAGACACAGACAGAAAAAACAGGAAAAACGAAGAAACATTATAGTTAGTTATTCTATTTCTCCTTAAAAACAAAAGTATGCTGGTAGCACAAAGAGGTACATACTGTTCACCGACTATAAAGACAGGGATTCGTTCAGATATCTAAATGTGTAACAACTTGTCAGTAAAGATGAGAGGAGCACAGACAAAGACGTACAGACACACTAGAAGGCAGAGGAAAGGGACATAATACTGCCGTTAACACAAGGTCTGCTTCCAAACAGAAACATGCACAGCTTTCAAATCTAGAGGTGACGTTGACACTTTGTCTAAAAATACTTATGACCTCCAATCCCTGCGTGAGCACACATACAAGAAAAGAAAGGAGTATGCCGTGCACGCCTGTGTGCGGTGCAGTTATCTGCCTGTGGTACAAGACTGGATGTGTAAATGTCACCGGAGCCTAGGGGGAGAAGATTCTAGAGTTGGCTATTTGATCCAGCTATTTCTGTGCATGAGTGACTGTGGGTGCACATGTTTGGGTCACTTACAAGGTTTGCCGTTACGCATACCTCTCCCGATTGACTTTCACTGCAACTGAAATGAATGTGAGATTGTTTTCTATTAAAAAAGGCATATATCAAAATATCTTTCCAAGAATCAATCCGGTGTGTCTTCTAATAAATAGCTAACAGTAATGGGATAATGCTAGTGTCAAAGTTCATTTAGATTGCTCTCATCTATCCAAAGCTTATCTAAACGAAAGAGCTCTGACTGCATTCCTCCCTGTTGCAATCTGCATCATTCTCAATAGTGTGTGTGTGTGTGTGTGTGTGTGTGTGTGTGTGTGTGTGTGTGTGTGTGTGTGTGTGTGTACTACAAGTGCTGTTTGGTGGGTGTGACGCATGCGCCAACACATCTCAGCTGGGATACAGGCCAATGGAAAAATGCCGTTGCTCACACACACACACACACAAACACACACACAGTAAGTAGGTCATTCGTCCAGCTTTAGGCTGCATTGTGGTTTTAGACGCAGAACTGATATACGGGGTTAGCATACTTTGTGACAAAAAAGGGACCATGCATATTTTAGAAACATTACACAAACACTGATTTGTACCTACATTTAAATATTTTCTGATTTGTGTCTAGGTGTTTTCTTAGTGTCATTAATTTACCCTACAGAGATAATTAGCAAAAAAACAACTCTCTTTCTGTGGGGATTTTAGCATTCATGTTAACAACCCCCAGGACAGCAGCACTAAATAACTGTGATGTATCCTGGATAACTACGGGTTGACTCAGCATGTGACGGAGCCTACACACAATAAGAGGCGCACACTGGACCTTTTCCCAAGGGTCTTAACATGTAAGGACATTCTCAGGCCTCTTCTGTTCAACATTAACAAGCTCTCACCGGTGCCGTCAACAAGAATATCTTACCATAATTATTCAGACGACACACAGATTTTTACAACGATATCATCATCGGGTGACTATGTTCCCATAAAAGCACAGACTAAGTGCGTTGAACAAATCAATAGTTGGATGAGCTAAAAGAGGAATGATTGATTTTGGACCCAAATAAATACTATTCAGTCAGTGCTTTGCAAAACAAACAGATTACTGTGAGTAGTGTGTGATGCTGCGGGTATCGGCATGTTTAAACGATCAATTCAATGGTGGATCTTTGTAATAATTATCACAATGCTGAATCAGCTCAGTATTGGAGGAAGAGGCTGCATGCTTTTGTGATTGGCTGGGAATGTATGTATGATTTTGTACCGAGTAAAAACCAACACAAAGCTGCACACCGAGGTGCAAAACTCATGGGAAATATTTCATTCCGAGCTGGAGGCATGGCTACAACAGCATACTTCAAATGTAAAACACATTCCAATCAATATGCATGTCTCGATGATTCAGAACTGTGATCAGTGTCGAATGAATTCAATTTGCAAAATCTGAAAACAGATCATTGCTTAATTTAATAGATTGAGCAACTTCCCATTTGTTAATGTGGGCGTGTTGCCTCAGTGAGTGTTTACACATGGCTTTCTTCTTCGTCTTCCGTACATTGTGTCACTTTCAACTATCAGAAACAGTCGAAAGGACACTTGTAATGAGAAGAGGAGAAGATAAGTAAAAGGGCAGTTTTTGATGCCTAGTGGGCGAGAGGTCACCACAAGGTATTTGAGAGAAGCCAGCTTGTGATTACACATGGTGCGCACACACAAACACACACACTTAAGCCTCAGTTGTTGTCTGGGCTTTAGTGATGTCCCTGCACAAGCTGTTGACTCACCGTTATAAAAATTGCCAGGCAACGCAGCCTGAGTGTGCGTCTATATCTAAAAGCCCCCAGTCGCTGCCCTTCAGTGCTGATCCTCAGCCAAAAGGAGGAAATATTTCCCCATTTACTGAGCAGCGGTGAATCACCACTAGCAGGGGAAACGTGAGGAAAACCATGTTTCCTGCAAGACTGTATTACAGAAAGGCTATATATATTTTTTTGTATTAAATCAACCAATTTCAAAGAGTTTCTGATTAAACCTGTACTGAAACTTAGAGAAGTGTTAAGGTAAGGATGCAGGAGGTACAATTGATCTTCAGTGAATAGGAACATTTTATTTGTATAGTTCCAATAATGGAAAATGTAATAGTATCAGATGACATCACACCTTTTAACTGTGAGTCTTTTGTGACCATAAATAAACACAAAAAGAATATTTCCGTCACAGGCAGAACATCAAATAATATAAACATAACGTGTTGATAAGGATCCCATATCTTGGCATGTTAGGAAAAAAATTAATTTGTCAGTGTTGTATATTAGGCAAACTATGTAAAGGAAAACCCTATCACCACATATATCTATGATATCCACGTTTATGAAAGACAGTTATTGACATACTCTATACATAAATGCAGTGTAAATATACACATGCATACGTTTATTACTGGTTGTAAAGGGAATGCGTTTATTTGAATGTGTCCGAGTTAGCCAAAAGCCTTTTTATACCCCATTAGTTGTTGTTCCTAGGTAGATTATAGACACTTAGGCATAAACATAGTGCAGATACACAGTGTATACAACACACAATATAAAGGTTAGACATATGTCATTAGTACTTGAAACTATTAACAATGTTTTAAGGTAAATATTCAATCAAAACATAAAGATGGATGCAACATTTGACTACAGTCAAGGCAGTATAATTTACACAAGTGGAAAAAGTTAGCTGGCTCAGTCAGTATAGCTTTTCAGACGTACACTTTTTTAATAAACATTCAGCGCAGTTAAGTACTACAATTTAAGCTTCACTTTATGATATTCGTGCGACATAAATCTTTTAAATGTTGCTTAGCAAGTTGTTTTTAAAATCTGTGATTATAAACTTCCTCGTGGGCGTAGACAGCAATACAAACGCATGCCACGCTGTAAACTGGCACTAGTTTAAGCTAGCGTTACACCTGCTTAAAAACGACTACAAAGACTATCAAAAAGAGAAGGCAGGTGTTATAAATACTTTAATGTTAAATTAAATGAATAAATAATCGCTACATTGGCGGGTGGGTAGTTTACAGAAGTGACAGAACAGCAATAGAGCATGTGTTCGTCAGCACGCTGCAGAGGAATTATGGAAATAATTGTATGTCGAAAAGCTTCTCATAATATACTAAATGAATGCGCATATTTCATATTTAATGCGTTTTAATGTGTATTAGCATTTAAATTACTCACCAGCAGCTGTCGTCTCGGCTTGTCTCTGTCAGACGAGGTCAACAACAACTGCGAGTCAACCTAACCTAATCTTTCTTTGGTATAAATGCATATAGCAGCACGTTTACGTGGGGCTTTCTTTTGCACAAGGCACAGTGTGTACAGTTGCAGCCAGGTTGTGTGTGGTTCACACTCCTCCTCCTGCTGCTGCTGCTGCTGCTGTTGGTACAGTTTAATCCAGTTTCTCTCTCTCTCTCTCTCTCTCCCCACCACGAGGTCAAACCTTATTTACCAACTTTGGAGTGTGCCAGAGCTGTGCGTTGACGCAACACACTGAAGGTTTCTCATTTCTCAAATGTCCCCTCCTCGACTCCTCGGCTGCATCTCACTTCGGTTAAATGGAATCCTTGCGTCCCTCATTTGCGTCGTTTCCCTGCATCTAGTCCCTCCCACCCAAGCGGCAAACTCTGGGCAGAGCATGGATGTATAATAAGAACTGGATACAGCGTGGGAGGCGGGGCCTCATTCAGGACTATGAGAGTTGCTCATTAGCGCCATGGATGTATAATAAGAACTGGATACAGCGTGGGAGGCGGGGCCTCATTCATTCCTATGAGAGCTGCTCATTAGCGCTGTCACTACCCGATCTGCAGCTCTGCCCGATCTGCAGTGCGCATGTGCGAGATGGTCCGCCATATTGGACAACTCCAGACGGCAACCCAAGATGGACACTTGACACAGTGGCTTTTAGCAAAGCTCAAAAATAAAACGAGAGAGAGATGAGTTATTGTTATTGCAACGTGACTTCACTATTATTTAACAACTCTTTTTATGGGGTTCTTTTATTTGGGGTTAAGTACATTGTCAGAATAAGTGAGAAATACATTTAACTTCTGTTAGACAGCTATCATACTGAATACATATTTACTGTGAATGTGTGCAAAACTGTATGGCATATGGCTGTCTAACAGAAGTGTCCATACTGGGTAGTTTATTTAGTTTAAAAAAAATTATCCAACGAGTTACAGACCACTCTTTCCCCATGTAAGTCAATGGGAAAAAGTGTTTCCGGGCCTGGCAACCAAACGGAAGTGTAGTACCGCTGTTTGGCCAGCACGAATATTTTCATCTGAGTCCGGCGCACTTCCTGGGGGCTTGATTAGCGCATGATGATAAAATGGCCCAACTTTTGAGAGAGCGAAACGTCACAGATTACCCGGCATGCCTGAGAAGTACCCGTATGTGCGCTCATAGCGCATGCGCAACTTTAACCAAAATGCTCGTTCACATCAAGCACGTCAATTTGCGTACACGTAAGTTACAGAACCGCGCGTTCATGACAGCATGGCAATGATTTGTTATTATGATGGATTTGATATTAACGAGGCGGCAGTTAGCAGCTAGTGGCTAGCTAGTAATTATGCTAATGTATACATCAATCGTTATGTACTTATATTACGCTCTAACAGGATCTAGTGATATCCAAGCAACAGAGCTTCATTTAGCATGAAATAATTATTGCACTGTATATATATATATATATATATATATATATATATATATATATATATATATATATATATATGTACACACAGTGCAATACGAAGCTACAGGGACGTTAATAACGTCGGTAATATTAACTTTATTTAATACAACATTTACGGTACAAGATTTAATCATATTGCCCATGTAGTATAATAATGAATTACAGCAAACATGTGCAATATATCCATTATTACAGCTCCGTGGGATGGCAGTAAGACGATATGGGTCCGTTCTTATTGTGCATCCATGGGTAAAGATAAACGCAACTCACATTGGTTTCTCAAACAGCATCTCTGTAAACTACGTGTATTCACTGAATTTCACTCTCTGCCTTTAACGGCTCGTTGTAGCTCCAATAGCTCCAGCCCCCACCCTCCCTGTGAGCACAGTGTGCTCTGATTGGTCGGGACCATGCTGAACACGTAACATGAACGTGCCGGGCGGCGCGGTCCCGTGGGTTAGATGCACGTTCATAGTGCAGAGGGAAATAACTCTCAGAATAACGTTATTAGCACATTATTACAACTTGAGGAACGCATGTCTTTAATAAGGGCTATACAAGTGTTCATACTGGGTTGTTTATTTAGTTTAAAAAAAATTATCCAACGATTTACAGACCACTCTTTCCCCATGTAAGTCAATGGGAAAAAGTGTTTCCGGGCCTGGCAACCAAACGGAAGTGTAGTACCGCCGTTTGGCCACCACGAATATTTTCATCTGAGTCCGGCGCACTTCCTGGGGGCTTGGGGCAGAGCCGGGAGGCCAATAAGGAAGTGCCACAAACTGCAGTTCATCTATTGGCCGATAGGCTATGACTGCAGGAAGGATGCATTTCCATAGACCCCATGTTAAAATGCCCAACTTTACAGCAGAAATAAACATGTTTCTACCCCTGGATGCAATACAAATTATTCGGGATATAGTTAGATTCCACCTTAATGATTATTAATTGTTGAGTGAATTGTTTTATAACGCAAGTTCCCTTTTATTTATATTAGGTCTTAACGTTTTTGCATAAATTAGGGCGTGGTCACTTAGATGGACAGGCATGTGCCTCACTGTCAGCTAACAGCAACTTGTCCACTCTGCTAGGCTACAAGTACAACGTTAGCTAGTTGTAGTGACTGTACTTGACCCTTTAGCCGGGTTCGTGGTGATTGTGCCTTTTACACAGACAGACACACACACACACACTGTACAACACACACACTGTACCACAAACACACACCTACAGCTCCTAAAGCATATCATATATCAGGATACAGCCGTTGTGTATTTTATTATGTGAAGCACTAAATGGTTTTAGAAAAATATCGACTCTTTGTTTGTAGATATCTACTAAACTAAAGTATACAAATAAAGAGAGTAATGTAGGCCTGTTATACACTCTTAAAACTACTGGGTTAAAAAATATCCCAATCATAACCCAGCTGCTGAGTCACTATATAGGACAGAACATGCGCTGGGTTGTCTTAACCCATATGCTGGGCTGGATCATTTTAACCAATGTGCTGGGTTGTTTATTTGACCCAAGCTACTGATTGAAATTAACTATATCACTGGGTTAAATATAAACCATACATTGGGTTGTTCATTTGACCCAAACTAGTGATTGAAATTAACTGTATTGTTGGGCTAAATAGAATATAATAATAATAATGTATAATAATGTAATGAATTATCTCCAAACAGAGCACGGTGGACAAAGTATTCTTAAAAGTCTGAGCGATTTCAACCGAGGCGAGGGGCTAATGGCGGACTCTGGTGAAGGCATGGGTGATAGAACGTCTAGGCACGTCGGGGGCGGAGCACATGACGTGATGACGTCAGACCAGCGTCAGACAGATTCAGTAAAAAAGAATGGAGTACTATTACCAATATGACCCTAAGTGGTTGAACACTGTATACACAATATTAAAATTCAGTTCATAGTCATCAGAAAATTAGCGGTGAATTAACTTTTTTAAATGTTTGAGTTAAAACAACCCATTTTCTTTCAGAAGCTTGTAATGTTCGGTCTTAGTGTGATCACTGGTGATTCTGTGAAATCACTGGCTGATTAGCGGTTTTGCAAAATCACTGTTGTGGTTGTAGCAACAACGTCGCTCCTGGACGCTTAGGGAGTGAGAGTGTGTTGGTTGTAGTGGTTTTTCAAAATCACTTAGTTACTAGTGATTCAACAAGTTACAGAATTATATAAATATAGGTAAAATATAGTGATAAAATATAGGTTACATATACCTTGTGTTGTGAGAAATGACAAAAAGATGGTTCCAGAATGATTCAGAAGTGGGAAAATGAATAAAGCAACCTCTGGGTTAAAAATAACCCAGGCAGGTGTTCAACTGCAATTGAAGCCCTAATAACCCCTTTGACCCAGCATGAACAACCCACCAGTGTGTATACAATACCCAAATAACCCATAATTATGACCCAGCCAAATCAACCCAGCAATGTGTTTATAGAAATAACCCAGCATTTTTTAGAGTGTACTGAGTGATATTATACACACTGCTCTGCTTTCTGCATGGACCTCACAGCTGTTCACTGTAAACATTGCGTCGCGATGAAAGCAGTTAATAACATAATATCCAGGGGATGCATGCAGAGCTGTCATTGGCTGAGATAAATCCGGCCGTGTGTCACGACTCTTTGAAACATCACTGTTGCCGGAAATACCTCCGCGGAGGAACCATCAGTGTATCCTCGATTATAGCTCCTCCAGAGAGCCTCCTCGAGGCTCGATCCTCGATGTGCATTTAGATAAATGAAATGTCCTTCAACAAGGCGTGCTGAAATCCATTTCCGGGTCACTACCGGAGGACCGAGGATTCGAGGAGGGGAAATTAGAGAATTGAGAAACCTTCTAAGACACAAGGATAGGAGTCGAGGAGGGGAATTAGAGAAATGAGAAAGCTTCACTCATACCTGCCCCCTGTTGCTCATTACACACTGGCACACGTTTTGGACACTAATAAAGCATTACATGTGTTTTTATGTTTGTCTTTTTCACCATGCAATCATCAGCCATGTCAAAGCCCTTCAATCATAATATGGCTTAATTTCACATTGTAGGGAAAGTACAGTATACGCAGACATGCAGCAATCTGCTATACCGAACTTTATTTAAGAATGATTCTGGGGTTTCTCCCATGGGGTTTCTCCTCCCTCCTTCCCATCCTCTGCTCCTATTGGTCCTCGTCGTCTGTTGACAGGAGGAGAGGGGAGCGGCTTCTCATTGGTTAATCACAAATGAAAAACAAAGTGCAGGTTTGTTCTGCATCCCTAAACATGAAATCCAGTTTTACAAGGGACACTCGGCCAGTTACATGCAGTAATTGACACATTACACACAAACACATAAAGTGCAAACCATAAAAATACATGTACCTCGGCTTTGAAATGGGCCTCTGCTGCCACCAGCTGTTGCTGAACAGCACCCTGTCACTGCCATGTGTTGCACGTCACTATGGAATGCCATTTAAGCCAACATTAAATAAATAAATAAATAATTAAATAAATATATATATATATATAAATATGGCTATGAAATAAATTCAAAATAAATAAATTAGGCAATACATATGTATACATGTACATTTAAATACACTTAATACACAAATAGACTTTTATTTCATAATGACACATTTATTTATTTCAAGAGACTTTTATTTCATAATGACACATTTATTTATTTCAAGAGACTTGTATTTCATAATGACAAATTTATTTATTTCA